CTCCACAAAATTCCACAAACTCCTTAATCAATAAATTTTGATTAAGTAGGAGTTTCCGATGAAATTATGGGTTATCGAGATAAGTATTTTGAGATATAATATTGATTTAAAATGTAGGTTTCTGTGGAAGTCGAGCCTCACCAACCTATCCGAGCTTGTGTGCTATTTATCTTCTTGTCTTCTGATTAAGTGGGTGTTGATAAAACCTTACCATGTGGTTATTCTTTACAATTGCTTGGCCCGATAATCAATGTATGCATGTGAACCACTAGTCTATGCGTGTCTCACCCGCCAATGGGTTATGCTGGCGACATTCAATTATTGTGCCTTTGTTTGTTTCTTCCACTGATGGGTTATGCCGACAGGAGTTGTGTGTACACATGGGGTTAGGGCCGTAGAGGAGGTAGACTAGGTGATTTGTGTTCATGCTGTGATTATGATTTCAGTCATTATATTGAATAGATTGCATGGTATTCCCACGGTGAGCTTGTTGTTTGTTCACCTCCATTATTTCCCTCTTTTCATGTTGAGCTGGTGGTCGTGGCAAAGGACGGGCAAATGGGTTCATTATAATTGCTATAATGACCTTTTATCTGCTTTTGCTTATTGTTATCATGTTTTATCATGTGGAACTGATTATGAACTTGAACTGTTTTGCATGACTTGAGATTGAGTATTGATTTGAGTATTATGATATTATATCGAGACTTGTCGATGAACATGCAATATTATGTCCGTTTGGATTATATGGCTATCTGATTTTTCTTGGGATGGTTTATTCCCAAGGGCTTAAGTCGATACTTAGGCCTATGAATTGAGTTTTGGTTGAGTAATGCCAGTTATTAAATTTTAAATTGAATATATATTTTGAAAAATTAACTCTGATATTTTTCTTTTAAAAATAATGGGGCGTTACATACATTTTTTAAACACCACAACATCTTGAAAATGTTTGATTTTTCTACCCTTGAAGCTTTCACATACCAGTTGCATTCTGCACATATACACTTCACCTAGTACTGCTTCGGACAAGATTTCTCTACTTTGAACTGATATTGATTTGTTATTGCCTGGAGGCCGAGTAATTTCATCACTACACGTTTACCTCTGAATGTTTCGCTGACCACAATATCAGAATTCATGCATCCATCGACCACAGCTCCATGTGTTTTGGTGTTGTTCTTCTCATGTTTATCTTTCGTATACTTTGTTGTTTTCAGCATAGTATCTACAATATGTTTGACGAATCCTCTGAAGAAAATCCGTTTAATTTTTGAATTCGTACAACCCATAATGGTATGTATTATATTAGACATCATATCTCACGTCTTTGATTTTTTTTTTTCTTTCGCAGTTCGTTCGATTGTTATTTTTTTCTTCAGCTAGATTGATGATTTTTTTTCCAACTGCAAGACGCTGATGAATTGAGAAGCCTTTCAATTTATTTAATTCGTGCAACCCTAAATTGTAGCTATCCTATTTGGATTTTTTTAAAATTCTATTTTGATTGCGTCCGTTTCAGACAGATTAATTGCATGAATTATATTTGGAGAGAAACAGATTATATGGGGAGAGATAGTAATTGTGAAAAACAAATTGATGAAGACGAGACCGCCATTGCGTATCTGAATAAATACGACCGTCTTCGGGTTTAGTCAATTTTAATGCACGATCTACATCACAAATGCGCACCAAATCCTTAATTGACAAATTATTTTACAGCTCGTATATATGCAAATAACTCTTATATAGAGTATAGATATGTAAATTTTCCTTCAAAAATATCATAAAAATCGGTGCACTAACTGGCTCAATGGATTATTTTCAGCAAGTTTGTTGAGTTAGTGTACTAAGTTTGATGCTTCCAATTAGATATAATTTCTGAAAAAAAGACCAACGTATTTACAAAAAAATAAAAATAAGCCCATCATTTATTTTCTATTGGCACCTACTTGTCAGAATACAAAACGGAAATACGATGAGATATATTTCACCTTCGTCATTATATAATTATCATCTGAAAATTTATTCATCTATAACTATATGTTACCACAAATATTTTCGAACCTATTATTAATGCATGAAGAAATAGCAAAGGAGTCGACTTCTACGACTTCCTCCAATGAACACGAACTCGAACGTGAAGTTATAGACAACAATAATGCTGCAAAGAAATATAACTATTCAGAGTAAGAAGCAGAAAGTGAACCAATTAAAAGCAGCAGCTCAAATTAATCAGAAGAATTACAAGGAGGCTCCACCATTTATAGATTTCTTATCAGTTAGAGCCTCGAATTCTTAAGACGTCGAAATCAAACATTTACAGCAGAGCTTAAGCAACAGAAAATTTCCAATAGTTTGTACTGCAAATTTTAGCTTGTTTATGCAGGTAATCTAACTAGGATAAGTATGTATCTATATTACTTTTATGCACTTAGTATATGGATGCATACATAGAAAAGAAAGTTCAATTAATGCAGCTTATAATTATGTACCAATGAGGTAACGAAAATTGGTGTATTTCTGATTCTCCAAACGGTCTAGTTAGCATGCTCATTCACACCAAATACCACAATTATTAGGAATTTTTTTTTTCCCCCCAAAATGATAGATTATATTATAAATCAAAATGCACAAATGTGCGAATACACAGTAACCAACAGCTGAAAATGTGGGATGACATGTCAGAAGACCGCCTAGAGTCCCGACTAGTAATGCTAGAATAAAACTCGCAACTAAACTAACCAACTTAAACAACTAAAACCAAATAAAACGACCCCAACAGGATAATACCAGAGTGTCGGATCCCAACGGGATAATAAGGTGATATTCGGGTTCACAAAGGCCAACATGCCAACAGCCCAGACCAAAAACACAATCCTAAAAAAACATTAAAACAGAAACACAAATCAACCATAACTAAAACCAAATATAAAGGGACATATCCTCCCCACCAGATACATCTAGATCTACGGCAGACAAACCAACTCCAAAGACTGCTCCAGAGCGCGGAAATAACCGTCCACCACTGCTTAAGGCCTAGCAAGACGGGTGCCCACACCCCAGGACCAACCGAAGAGCTGGCCCGCACTCCAATCACGTGAAGAAACCAACACAGCTCGGCTTCAATGAGTCAGCCCGCCTAAAATCGCTACTATTCATCCCAGTCCGAAGTGGCTGAACCTGATCCCAGCAGTAGCTACAACTCCCCATCGTGAATCTCCAGACCCATCTCGACAAAGAAGAACCGAAAGGTCCCGCCGATCCTGGACAATATAAAAAACCGAGACAAAAGCAGCAAATTTAAGGGCAAACCTCCAATGGACATAGCAAAGTGTCGAAACCGAAGAAGCCCCTTCCGAACGCCGCTTCGCCGGCGAAAGGGCACGGTCCTGACCGGCAGCAAGAAGGGTGAGCAAGGTGAATAATCGGCGACCCAGCCAAAGCTGATAGCCAGTGCCGGCTCATGGGCTAGTTGCCCAAGGCATAAGCCTAGGGCCTCTAGTTAATAGGAGGCCTCATTTTTTAATATAGTAAACTTTTTTTTTTTTTCAATTAAGTTGTGATTGAAGTCAATTTTGCATTTAGTACACTTACCCTGTTTTTTGTTTGGGAAAAATAAAACGACATATCTTCTAAGAACTTAATATATGCATTCAAACAATTAGTATGACCATTTTCAATTTTAATTACTTGTATTATCTATTTATTTAGTTTTAATTAATGATTTTCAAGCGGCTGAACTATTATTTAGTTTTCATACTCTTCTTCCTTGAGATTATAGTGTATATATGTTGTTATTTTTCAATTTTTAATTCTTGTTATTTCAAGAAAATTTTATGAAATATATTTTTAATTTACTTAATTTATTTTTTATATGTAAAATATTTTTGTGCATTTAATCATATCTAATATTTATTATATTGTTCAATAAAAAATTATGAATATAGTTGTTGGAATGAGGCCACAATATAAAATTTTAACTAGGGCCTCTACGTTTCTGGAGACGGCTGCTGATAGCAAAGAACCCAGCCTCGCCCATGAACCAGCCCCGCAACCCAACCTTCACCGACAACGCCTGGTCTTCGGCGACCACCAAGGGAGCACCTCCGAAGGCCAACGCGCGATCCAGAACCAGACTTCAACAAGAGGGCAGCACCGCCATGGGCGAGCGACGAGGCCGGACCCGGGCGTCCGGCAAGGGAGATTTAACCGGTGAAATTAAAGGGGCGGATTGGCTAGGGTTACGGCGATTTTTGGGAACGGGAGTTAGAGAGAGAACAAACTTTCTTAATTATTAGGAATAGAAAGGGGAAATTATGGATAGAAAGAGTTAAAAAGGAAATATGAAAAATAAGAAAAAGTGCAAACATGAAATACACTAGTATTGTACTCTATTTGCTGTTTGGTTACAAAGTGCACCTACATTTACCCTTGTAATTATACAAGGAGGCTGTTTCCGTAGCGGCCCAAGGTGCATTGCGCCGTTTGATATATTTTTTTTTTCTAGAAACTTCACTAATAGAAGAAGCACTAGAATTTAATTGAACCCTTTTGATCTAGTCCATATTAGCACTATGCAAGGAAAATTGTCAACATATGTGGGTGTTTTTTTATTTTCTTAGATTTCTGGTGTTTTTCATGCTTTCAAACAAACTCGAGAGGGTATTTTTCTTTTCTAATCAAACCTAATTATCATACCACCAAAAATGAGGCCACATATGCTTTCTATTCCATGTAAGATAAGAAATGTTAAAGGAAAAAAAAATACCCCAGAAAAGAAAAAGCTAGTAAAAATGGCAAGTTTTCTTACCATGGGCATGCATGTATTGCTAGAAGTGTGAAGATGGCTTACTTCAACTAAAGCCTTGTGCAGCTGTGGATTGAAAGGATATATCTGCACCTCTTTTACAATAGCTTCCCATACTTTTGTAATCTTGAGCTCGGCACAATTTTTGTACAGCACCCCCACATTATAGCTGAACAAAATTTCAAGTTGCCTACTCGGCCGCCTCATCTCTGCAGTAAACAACATAATCAGCACACTGTAATAATAAAAGTGAATAAAATGGCAAACTGGGCAAACTATAAGGTACAATATCTATGCTTTGAGTGAAACACATGTCAAATTTTGAAAGGTTACCGAGATACCATTAGTCCCACGTTAGGCAGCAAATTCATCTAAAATGTAAAACTATATACAGTTTATTCACCTGGAAGCACCATAGTAAAATAAGTTACTAGAACTTCCAAGGCAGCAAATTCATCTAAAAGGTCATATGGTGATTTAATGAAGAAATGGAAGAAAATCAAACAACATATATAGTCAACCAAATGCAGTAGTATCTCTTTAATTTATTCTACTCTGTCAAACAGAAGTATTCCCTGATTAAGCCAGGCAACAAAAAGGGAGACGTGCAACTGTGCATGTGATGACGATGCTGCAGGAAACATTGTAAAGTCCGCATATCTCGACAAGATTAAAGAAAATAAAAACCTCAGACCAAAATGTGCTAAAAAGAATGAAAACCATTTCCCAGTATGCCATTAAAGAGAAAAACAGTCGATAAATCAGCTGCATATCCTCAAAGTCAAACTGAACCAAATTAAAGCATAAGGAACCCTAAAACATGACCAATGAATTCATACCTGAGGAAGCCCATCAATAGATGACAATGCCATGTCAAAAACCTTACTGGGGTGATCAATATTCCTGAAGAATGCTTCTCTTTGAGCATAAACTCCGCATAGAAGTACACCTAAAATTATGAAGAACACCAAAAGTATCAATCTTCAACACAGAGCAGTCACTAAAAGAAGTAATAAGCATCAGTCTCAAGCTATTAAATAATAACAAATAAGAGGGTAGATATAGAAAAAGAACTCTGGTCGATTGTTAATCAAGAGATTATATGAAGTTGTGAACATATCAATACTCAGATGATTTCCATGTGAAGCACAAATAATATTTTGCTGGACACCGGGCAGCACACTATAATACAAAAAGGATTTGGATTTCTCATACATCCCACAGTCGAAATGGACAGCTCAATGTTATTAAATCATATTCAAGAAATTAAGAGTGGAAGACTATCTAATATCACCAAGTGAAAGAAGAGATAACACAATTCAGAAGAACAAGCTAACTCATGTAATATGGGTTACCATAACAAATCATGTTCGCATACAAGCACATGGCAGAATGCCGGATCATAGTCATGAAACCTACCATTGAGCTATCCTCCATAAATATCTGTGAACTGGGATACAAGAGATAACCGAGCTTCATCAGAATTCAGTGAGAACAGGTAATCACTCACATCTTCATACAAAATTACTCTCAACATATGCTCGTCATCTTCTTTAGCCACTGTGTCGTCATACTGAGAAACCCGATCAGTTCTGCCAAGGTAATGTTATTATAGCGAAAGGGGACACATCAATTGCAGTAAGGTAAATATACCATCACAACAATAACTCAGCCGTCAGGTACTAGTACACATCATCATGTGTAATAAGTTTCCTTTGGCATGTATAACAACAGGAAACTGAAGAAAATGCAACAAAAAACCATAACATTACACTACTATCTCATTCAGCAACTACTAGAGTTTTCAGTATCAGTTAACGCAAATACACATCTGAAATAGTATCTAAATTTGAATATAGGTCATTTTTCTTAATACAACCAATTTCTTTTAATCACATAGCAAGAAAGCCTCCAGGTCACCTTCGAAGATGAAACAGAGCACAAAATGAGGCAAAATAAGTCTCACAAAGAAGAAAAACAGACCAAATTATGTACAAGCCATACCGGTATTTGCACGAAGAGGTATCCACTTATCAAAGTCTCTATCCATCTCCACCTTTGACCATTTAGTCCATGTTTCTGTATCTTTTATCTTGATATTGTAAGATATAATCCTGCAGTTTCCTTGTTAGTGAAGTGCAACTTCCTTGCACTTTCATTACATTTTCATGGCACTTTCATGGCAGCCATTATGGGCTGAATTTTCAGCTTAAGTAATTTCTAGGAAAGTCACTAGGATAGTTGCTTTTAGTTCTTATAAATAGAGGAGTAGTTTTTATTTGTAAAAACACAGCAAAAACTGAATACTCAATACATTGAGTTGTTCAATATCTTCTTCTTCTATCCTAAAAGTGTCCGTTTGTGTCGGAAAGCATTTTTGCTTACCCGAATAGTGCATCCTAGCTGCAAATAGAGACGAGCAGAGACTAACAAGTGGCATCAGATCCATGGCAAGCCAAGATGTTGCGTCGACGGTACAACGGAGCGGTGCACACGCTTCACCGCGCTAGGAGGTCATCATCCACAGGACCGTATGGGACATTGGCGGGGCCAACTGGCCGGTCCTCACACGCACAAACTATGGCGAGTGGGCGGTGCTGATGAAGGTCAAGTTGCGTGCACGCAAGCTTCGGCGGGCCATCGAAGAAGGCACCGAGGATGAAGAAGAGGACTGCGCAGCAATGGAAGCGATTCTGTCCGCTGTTCCTCACGAGTACGTGGAGTCGCTGGGCACAAAGGACTCCGCAAAGGCTGCTTGGGACGCCCTCAAGGCCATGCGCATCGGGTCTGATCGCGCAAAGAAAGCGAAGGCGCAGCAGCTGCGGCGGGAGTATGAGGCGCTGGCGTTTCGCGACAGCAAGCAGTGGAGGATTTCTCGCTCCGTCTGCAGTCGCTCGTCAGTCAGCTGGCGGCGCACGGCGTCACCATCACCGACGAGGACGGTCGCGAAATACTTGCGTGTCGTGCCGCCTAAGTACTCCCAGATCGCGCTCTCCATCGAGACGTTAATCGACATGTCCACTCTCACGATTGAGGATGTGACTGGGCGCTTGCGGGCGGTGGGTGACCGTGGGGAGATGGCGACGATAACTACCAGCGGCAAGTTACTGTTGACCGAAGAAGAATGGGCGGCTCATATGCGCGAGCAGCGGCCCGGGGAAGGCTCCTCTAGCCATGGCGGCTACGACAAGCGTCGTGGCAAGGCCCCGCAGAAAAAGAAGAAGAAGGACGGCGACAACGCGCGTCCAATCGACAAGGACACTTGCCGACGCTGTGGGAAGACAGTGCAATGGGCCCGGGATTGCAAGAATCCCAAGAAGGAGAAGAGGGAGGCGCACCTCGCGCAGATGGACGACGAGGAGCCAGCTCTTCTTATGGCAACGATCTGTAAGTTGCACGACGTCGAGCCAGAGTTGGAGGAAGTCAAGGCGACGGCTACAGAGCAGGGGAAGTCACTGCAGGCCGTTCACCTCGACGAGTCAAGTGCCCAAGTCCACCTTGGACGAATGGGCGGTGGCATGGAGCAGAGGTGGTACCTAGACTCCGGCGCAGCAACCACATGACCGGCTCCAAGGAGGCCTTCTCCGAGCTTGATGACGGCGTGACGGGGACGGTGAAGTTTGGCGACGGCTCGAAGGTGGAGATTCGAGGTCGCGGGACCGTCATCTTCCGGTGCCAGAACGGCGAGCACCGCGCATTGCCGGATGTGTACTATATCTCGCAGTTGCGTTCAAGCATCGTCAGCATCGGACAACTGGACGAGCACGGCTGCAAGGTGCTTGTCAAAGACGGCGTGCTAAAGCTCCGGGACCGAGAACAGCGGCTGATGGCCATGGTCCAGCATTCCCGGAACTGTCTCTACCTCCTCGACTTGAAGGTGGAGCAACCAGTGTGTTTGGCGGTACGACACACCGAGGAGCCATGGCTATGGCATGCTCGGTTCGGCCATTTGAACTTCGACGCACTCGGTCGGCTGAGGAAGATGGTGCGCGGGCTCTCGCACATCGAGCACGCAGGCGAGCTGTTTGATAGCTGCCTGGCAGGGAAGCAGAGGCGGCTGCCCTTCCCAAAGGTAGCCAAGTATCGTGCGGCGGACGTCCTCGAGCTCGTCCACGGCGACCTCTGCGGGCCGATCACGCCGGCTACGCATGGCGGACGACGCTACTTCCTGTTGCTCGTGGACGACTGTAGCCGTTTCATGTGGCTGCAGCTCCTGACGAGTAAGGATCAGGCGGCGGAGGCAATCAAGCGGTTACAGGCGCGGGCTGAGGCAGAGTCCGGGAAGCGGCTGCGCGCGCTGAGGACGGATCGCGGTGGCGAGTTCACATTGGTGGAATTCGCCGCGTACTGTGCAAACCAGAGGGTGGTGCGCCATCACACTGCGCCGTACTCACCGCAACAAAACGGCGTAGTGGAGCGGCGGAATCAGACCGTGGTGGGCATGGCCCGAGCATGATGAAGGCAAAAGGCATGCCAGCGGAGTTCTGGGGAGAGGCTGTGAGCACAACGGTGTTCATCCTCAACCGTGCGCCCACCAAGGCCCTGAAGGCCATGACGCCATTCGAAGCTTGGCATGGTAGGCAGCCTGACGTCTCGTTTCTAATGACGTTTGAGTGCATTGGCCATGTGAAGAAGACGAAGCCCTTCATGTCCAAGCTTGAGGATAGGAGCACACTGATGGTGTTCCTAGGCTATGAGGAGGGGAGCAAGGCCTATCGGCTCTATGATCCACGTGGAGGCAAGGTGGTGGTATCGCGGGATGTGGTGTTCGACGAAATGGCAGCCTTGGATTGGGAGAATCCTGGCATGGGGGAAGCCCGTAGCGTCGGCGGTACGTTCGTCATCGGGCATTTGGTGATCCACGGAGGAAGAGATGCGGGAGTAGAGGAGCCAACTGCGGACGCGCCAAGTCCAGCAGCTGTGGCGGCGTCAGATGAGCCCCAAAGTCCAGCCATGGCGGGCACGGGCGAAGAGTCTCCACCAGCGGCTGCGCACACGCCCCCACAGTCCCCTGCCGCAGCAGGACAAGGGACACCTCCAGCGACGACAGTTGAGTTCACCTCTCCTCCAAGCGACATCGACAAGTATGTGAATGCCTTTCACGACGGCGAGGGGGTGAGGTTTCGCAGGATGGACAATCTCGTTGGCAACTCGACTGTACCAGGCTTGGCGAGCCGATTACTCGACGATCAGGAGTTGCTCCTCGTCAGCGCAGAGGAGCCATCGACTTTCGCGCAGGCCGAGGGCGATGTCAATTGGAGACGAGCTATGCTAGAGGAGATGAAAGCGATCGAGGAAAATGAGACGTGGGAGCTCGTCGATCCACCTCCAGGCTGTCATCCAATCGGGCTCAAATGGGTCTACAAGGTCAAGCGGGACGAGTGTGGCGCCATAGTCAAGCACAAGGCGCGCCTCGTTGCTCGCAGTTTTGTCCAGCGAGAGGGCATTGACTTTGAGGAAGAAGTTTTTGCACCAGTGGCGCGCTTGGAGTCAGTTCGCCTACTGCTAGCCATGGCGGCAGCGAAGGACTGGCGCGCATTCATCACCTGGACGTGAAATCGGCCTTCCTCAACGGCGAGCTAGCGGAGACTGTTTTCGTCAAGCAAGCGCAACGCTAGCTTGGGTTTGTCGTCAAGGGAAAGGAGCACAAGGTGCTGCGGCTACGGAAGGCACTCTATGGGCTGCGACAAGCCCCGCGAGCGTGGAACGCCAAGCTCGATGCCACTCTGGGTACGCTTGGGTTCACGTGCTGCGCGACAGAGCACGCGCTCTACACGCGGCGACGGGGGAAGAAGGAGCTCGTCGTCGGTGTGCATGTGGATGACTTGATCATCACCGGGGCACGAGAAAAGGACATCAACGGCTTCAAGCGCGAGATGGCAGCTCGTTTCCGCATGAGCGATCTCGGGCAGCTCTCCTACTACCTCGGCATCGAGGTGAAGTAGGGGAGAGACTCCATCACTCTCTGCCAGCGTGCGTATGCGGGGAAGCTGTTGGAGCGGAGCGGCATGGCTGACTGCAAGTCATGCGCGACTCCAATGGAGAAGCGGCTGAAGCTGACGAAAGCCAACACCGCGGTGATGGTGGATGAAACACTCTACCGGAGTATTGTCGGCGGGCTACGCTACCTAGTCCACACGAGGCCCGATATCGCATTCGCCGTGGGCTATGTCAGCCGTTTCATGGAGGAACCCAGAGAGGATCATTGGGGTGCGGTAAAGCGGTTGTTGCGCTATGTCAAGGGGACGGTGGACCAGGGCATCATCTTTCCCAAGACCGGCGGCAAAAGTGGGTTGTGGCTCACGGTTTTCAGCGATGCAGACATGGCAGGCGAAATTGATTGGCGGAAGAGCACCTCCGGTGTGCTCGTCTTCCTTGGATCGGCCCCAATCTCATGGCAGTCACTGAAACAGAAGATCGTGGCGCTGTCTACATGCGAGGCGGAGTACGTGGCGGCAGCCACAGCGGCGTGCCAGGCGGTCTGGCTGCATCGGTTGCTGGGCGAGCTGACCGGCGAGGAAGCTCGTCCACCAGCTCTGATGGTGGACAACCAACCCGCCATTGCCCTTGCAAAAAATCCAGTCCTCCATGACCGGAGCAAGCACATCTATACCCGTTTTCACTTCATTCGTGATTGTGTCGACGAAGGACAAATTGTTTTGGAGTTTGTCGAATCCGGACGGCAGCACGCAGACATCCTTACCAAGCCACTCGGCCGTCTTCGGTTCATGGAGCTGAGGACCAAGATTGGAATGATAGGAAACAAGCAAGAGCAGCAGGATTAGGGAAGAATTGTAAGATATAATCCTGCAGTTTCCTTGTTAGTGAAGTGCAACTTCCTTGCACTTTCATTACATTTTCATTGCACTTTCATGGCAGCCATTATGGGCTGAATTTTCAGCTTAAGTAATTTCTAGGAAAGTCACTAGGATAGTTGCTTTTAGTTCTTATAAATAGAGGTGCAGTTTTTATTTGTAAAAACACAGCAAAAACTGAATACTCAATACATTGAGTTGTTCAATATCTTCTTCTATCCTAAAAGTGTCCGTTTGTGCCGGGAAACATTTTTGCTTACCCGAACAGTGCATCCTAGCTGCAAATAGAGACGAGCAGGGACTAACAGATATCACCTTCAACAGCAGCATCAATCCCGAGTGCTTTAAGCAGAGATTCGACGTCATCCTTCACTTCAACATCTTTTGCGCTAGACCCATCATTGTCAAGTTCCTCGCCAACCACATCTTTCACAGCAGTATCTTGTATCTTCTGGCATTTCAGTTGCTCCGGTTTTAGATGGGGATTAAAACCAACCTGTCCAACCACCTTCATCTCCCAAACACGGTGCAAGTATTTTTTTTTATTCTTAGAGCTAGAAAATACGGCTTTTTCGAAATTTTGGGATCGATTTCCAGCTCATCTATCGCACCCACCAAGCAAAGGATCTGGTCTTCCACTCTAGTTTGGTTGGGCGGATTACTCCAGTGCCCCCACTTTCATGGCTCCTGCCCGCTTCTCATTATCAGATTGGGGCCGATAAGGGGATTTCTATTTGGGTGAGAAAACCAGAAGAGCTAGAGTTGGGGATTTTGGGTCGGAAACAAGACAAGCCAGAATGCGAAAGGAAGACATTATTCTAGAGCTGGAAAATCCCCTCCTTTATGTCTGGAAAACGAATTCTTTCATGATTCATACGTCAGCGCCTCGACTAAAAGGAATAGAAAGTAGTGCAAGCTACTTACTCTTCTGCGACTAGTCTTATTAGTTGATATCACATTGGTGGAGTTTGACGGGAAAAAGAAAAGAAAAAGGTAGAATGAAAAAAGGAACCTGGTTCCTTTCATAAAGTATGTTTTTTGGGGAAATATTTGTATGTGTCGCTTTCGCCAATATATTCCCAGGCTTCAGATCACAATGTATGAGCCCAAGGCCGTGCAAGAATTGAAGGCTTCCAAGCATTGAACATGATTGACTGCAGAGTCAAAATCCGAGTCACCAAGCAAGTAGTGTAATAAGTAAGAAGGAATAATTATGACAGTTGCACCACAAACCTGTACACTAGGCATCGTGGTTTATACCTCTTCCCCAGATTCTCTATTGAATTTATGGAATTCGTATAGGTATGCTTTGAGCAATTCACATACAATAAATAAATGCTCCTGCACGTATGGTGTCGGTCAATAGTATACCGTTTTGGGGGTTCTATTGGAAATAGCAAAAGCTAATTCAGAAAGCAAATGCAGGAGGTGCTCAGACGAGAAACATGATAAAAAAAATTGCCAGTTGATGCAAACAGTGAATAAAACTTGAAAGCAGCATTTCTTATTATGGTGCACTTGGAACACATTTGACAAGGTGCATTGGAACACATTTGGAAAGGTGTTGGTGTTTCATTGATACTGGTAACTAGCTTGTCATACTCAAAGTTTGGTTCTGGAAAAGTTTGGTTCTGGAAACATGGACTTGGGTAGATTATGTTGTTTCTAAAACTGCTAGTTATTGGTCATAAAACTTGCTAATATCAAACTGAGCTGCTTCACCAATCAAGCAGTATACTAAAAGGCAGTCCAAAATAATAAAATTTATGAAATGTGTGCCCCAAAACTAGAACGATGAAAATCAGATCATGATATAACAATTATAAGGTTGGAATACACTGATCGCACAACATAAAATGCATCACTTACACGGTAATAGAAGTAATCATACAACCGAAGAAGATGGTACTTGTCAGCACGATCGCATTTGTTCACATACTTGAGTAGTTTTATTTCGTCAACGCTCTGATAAAAAAAGTCCTTGTTGTTCTTTATAATCTTCACACAGACATCCATGCCATTGCCAGTGTGCAAGTCATGAGCCTTAATAACCTTGCCAAAAGCAGCTGACCCAATATACTCGGTGACATGATAGCGGCCAGCAATAACCGAGTTAAAAACTTGAAAATTGTTGTCCTCACATAAGTACAACTAGAAACTTGTGCCCACAACAACACTGGAAGTATCATATAAAGAGAACTGATATGTGGAGTATCAAAAGCCGCAATTAATAAAAGAATTCACGAATCCAACGGGAAACAGAACACTGAAATGAAGCTCTTAAGCCTGTAAAAGAATGCAACAACCCTCTGACCACTCACTCTCTCAACTCAAATATATGCCCCATGAAAAGGTATAATGTGACAAGAGTATAAGATGGGAAAGAAGCACTAGTTCTAAGAATGCAGACAGTCATATATGTTTATCCACGAAAATTGGGCAAGTGAAAAAGCAGATAAAAGATACGTGCCTGTTTTTCCTGAGAACAATCTTCAGCTCGAAGGTCTCAAACTCATCCTCCTGAGCCTTGATCTGTTCACTTGCTCTTGCACGGCAGCTGCTTCCTCACTGGAGCCGGTGTTAGCCTGATTCGACCACAGAGATTTACTTGTGCTCGTTTGCGCTAATCGCCCATTTCTATGCGGAGGAAATGAAAACCCTCCATCAATATGACTCTTTAAGTGACTACACATTTCACCCTTCTCATTACTCATACCATATTAAATGATCTTTTTTTTTTCGACTCAGTTTATGGGTGGTGATATATCAGTACCATATTAAATTATCTTAGCAATTCAATTCTGCTCAAATAGCTCCTTAAACATGCAGTATAGCGATGACCAATAATTTCAAGATCCCGAAAATGTGACTTTATGACAGTTCTCATGACAACCTATAAGAGTTGCATCCTTAGATTTGTAAACTGTACCATTAATATCACCCACTAGGCAGTAAATTTCCTACGAGTCGGTATTTCGCATGAAATGAGTTTACATTTTTAAGAAAGTAAATCATCATTATGGAAACGAAAATCCTCTCCTTGTCCGATTTCTAGACCAATAGGTACATCCAAAAACGAAAAATCCTCTCCTTGATCCGATTTTTTCCCTTTTTTACCCTTTCTGTTGGAGTCTCGTTTTTTTTTTTTTTCTTCCTGGACGCATTGACTAGAGAATGCAGTTTCGACGTACGGCTCCTCAATTGCCGCCGCCGGCGGAGATGAAGTCCGACCTCGAGAAAGCAGTCAAGCTGTTCAGTCCGTAAAGCAGCCTTAGGTTTAGTAAATTTGTTCCTTTTCAGATATCCAACATAACATCTACTTGACCTGACTCAGCCATTTGTAGCAAAACACTCTCAACAATGCAAACGAACAACTATTAGAAACACCGGTCAACTAGACGTGAAAATTGAGAGACAGAGAACAAAAAACCCGTTATTATAAAACAGATATTACTCTAAACCAGCACTTCTAACTCCAGCTTATTACCATAATACCAGAATAAGAAATCGATACAGTACGTTGTTCTTTAGCTCCAATACTCAAAATAAATGAAAACAAAGAAAGCAAAAAATTCCTTATTTTAGCCATAGCCACACAACCCAAATGCAAACAAGATAAGAAAAAGTTGAAATTCAAGCTGAAAGATACGAATGTCAAAACAGATTCAGAAAGATTATATATGAAAAATGCCATTTTTCATGAATCCACACACGAAATTACATCAACATTCAAGAACATATATTAGGAACCGCAACTGTCTCCTCGAGATTTAACACACACAAAAAAAGAGCTCAACGAGATTGCATAATGATTGACACTTTCACCAAACCCTAGAACGCACGAAAGCCTTTCAGAAACAGCGGAGATCGTCCCAACAAATCAAATGAAAAACCAGGAAAAATATAAATTGAATAGCAAAAATTTAGTTGAAAAAATGAAGCTTTAAAGATCAAAGAGCTACCTGAGAAGTCAAACACGGTGCTATTCCCAAAAAAGTGATTAGAAGTACTGGCTAGCAAATTCCCCCTTTTCTTCTCTTACTCTTCTTTTTCTCCCCCTCCTTTTCTTCTTTTCCTCTTCCTGTTTAAAAATTAAAATACAATATTAGAGTGTAATGATAATAATACAATGAAACACAAATTATGATAAGCAGTACAATTTTTGTATGACAGCCATTGCAAGATAAAAAGAAAATTTAATTATGACTAAAAAACAGTGTATGGCCCCAAAATATCCTCCCAGTAAATGTAATGAAGCAAAAACCAAAACAAGAAGGATGGATTTTCCCTGAAATTTAGTATCTTCAAATTTCATCAGTACGCACGTCCTTACATTTTGTTACCTCTACAGGAGAGATCCCACTATCCAGTAAAATGATCCTTTAACAACAAAACTAGTATATAAAATTAGCCCAAAATGAAGGTTCTATAGAACGTGGCACACTCAAGAAGGTTTGAAAATTAATAGCTATGAACAAGGTTTTGCAAGTCTATATATGCCATGAGGTGTTCAAGCACACTGCATTGCACCTCACAAACAGAAATATATGATTAAAGTGTCTTGAAACGTAAACTTTCGTGAAAAAAGCAATACGAGAATTAAACTAATGATTCCTACGGGAAAATAATGCCAAACTGTATCCACCTTACGATGATCATAAGATTAGTCTCACGAGTCACGAGTCACGAGTCACGATTCAGTGAAACCTCACATACCACCAAATTGCCAAAGAGAGCTTCCAATGAACAAGAGTTTCAATAATGCGTTGTAAAATGAAGTCCACATATAGAGCAAGGTACCGAGCCAAGAAGACAAGTCGTACAATTCCAGAATCTTCAAGAAACACCCTCTCAGTATGTCAATTTCACCATCTCATACAATAAATATTATATTACAATTATTCCAAACAATATTCTTCACGATAAGCATATGAGAACCCATCGCAAAAATTCATTCAAGCACCAAGCTTGCAGCTCAAACAACAATACATTATATGCATACATAAGGCATGGACATCTTCAGTTCCACCAACAACAAAAAATTGTAAATTTTGTGGGTAGGTGAGAGTTCATGTGTTCCTAAAAGCGAATAACTGAAGCCATACACCACCAAACAAGGGTAATGGCCAAATTCACTTCACATCACAACACAAAAACAACCACCCACAAAAGAATGGAAAATCAAAGTTGCAGAAGCCAAAAGAAAAGCCGAGCAACAGCCATAACAAG